TCAACTAATACAAAAGAAGTGAGATTGGTATTACCACATGCTTGTTTTTCCTCATAGCCAAATCTAGTTTCAGTTGTTTCAGGCAGTTGGCGTATCTATGGCCTTGGAGCCCACAATTAGAGCATGTTATTGTGGCCATTCTACTGCTGTCCTTTGGCATTGGCACTTCAAACCTGCCCTTGATCCTCTTCTCTTTCTTTCTTCCTCTCCTAACATGAAATTTGGGTGGCTCTATGTCTGGTCAAGGTGTCCTTATCCAGTCACGTTCACTAGGTACAGGAAAGATCATAGGTTCATATGCTACTAGATAAAAAGGTTTTTTTGAAGAATTTACAAACAAAGTCCTTTGGAAACCTTTTAGCCTTGTTAATTGCTGAAATTGCATGGTTGCATGGTATGCCACTCACGTCCCATTTTCTGCAACCACGTGTATAATTATCCAAGTTCACAGGGTGTTTGCTGCCCACTGGTCACTTGCCATAAATTAACACCAGCCTGAATGGGTTTGCAGTATCTGGCCCTCTCCTCCAGCTCTAGCTTCTCAGCATAATGTGGTGTGATCTCCCAGAAAGCATCCTTTCCTTTCTCCCTATTCCTATGCCACCTCACCATTTGCTTGTCCTTAATAACATCAACCATAGTCCTAATAGGATTTTTCCTAAAATCAAGGATATACTTGTTGAACACCTCAGATATGTTGTTAACAACCAAATTTGTCTTGCAGTTAGTGTCAAAAGCATGTCTAGCCCATGTTTTCTTAGGAATTCCATTAAGCTAGATCCAAGCATCCTCACACTCATTTCTCAAATCATTCATAGCAATATTAAACTTATATTCATTGTAAGCATAACTGGCATTATCCATGCATTTCTTTAGATCTTCCCCCTAAAACCAGCATTCTGGAAATTTGCATACAAATGTCTAAGACAATATCTCCGGTGGAAGTTTGGAAATACTCTATTCACTGCATTTAGTAGCCCCTGTTGAAATTACACAGCAAACTAAGCTACTGACTACAAATATATTTAAATGTACACATCAAACTATGCTACTGAAATCACACAGCAAACTATGTACTTACCTTCTGTCTATCAGACATGATTGTATAAGGACCAAATTGGCCAACTTCTCCTCCTAGACATATCTTCAGTTGGTGCAGAAACCAACACCAATTTGTTGTATCCTCCTGACCAACAATAGCAAATGCAATTGGAAAAGTGTTGTTCTTGCCATCTCTGCCAGTGGCAGCAAGGATCTGTGCACTAGTGGTGAGCTTCATAAAGCATCCATCAACACCTGTTTTTGCAAAGAAAGAACCAATTAAGTCAGTACATAGCAAAGAAACTAAAGCAAGGTGTAATCATGTACAAGTTGATGTGTGTTATAGTAAATAAAGCAAAGAAACAACTAACTAACCAATGAAAGGTCTGCATCCATTGAGAAATCCCTCCCTTGCTCCATTTAAGCAGAAAAACATTGCATGAAACCTTGGCCCTAGATGTGGTATTTTTTTTGTTGCTTTAGGAACTAGAGTTGTAACTACAACCCTGCTTCCAGGGTTTGTCTACATGATGGTTTCCGCATAGTCCCTTAGCCTGGGATATTGCTTCGTGTGCTCTCCTAAGACAGCTTCCACAACAAGGTTTTTGGCCCTATAGGCCATGTTCTTGGGAACCTCAACACCATACTTCTCTTGGCAGGCATCAATCAGAGTTTGTGTGCTAGTGGTTGGATCAGACCTGAACAATGACTCATAGGTCTTTGCAAGCCACTTTGCACTAACCCTTGATGACTCTATAGTGGTAGGGCAAGTGTGCTCCAGCCTCATTTTTTATAGCAAAAGTATTTTCACCTTTGATCACAGCAGCAACAATGTAGAACTAACAGTGCTCATTTTTGCAACATGCAATGATCCTTTGGTCAGAGTTTCAATGATATCTGAAATCTCTTGAATGTGAAATGTGCAAGCTTAACAGAGCATCTCTGAATTGCTGCTGATTTGTGAAGCACATGTACTTACATAATTGCTGGTGTGGTTGCTCCATTTTGTCATTGAACCATATCCTAGGTTTTCTTTTCTGTGCCCTAAACTTCTCGCAGTTCGTTAGGACAAATGCTAGTGGCTCATGCCCATCATCTTCACTATCCAGCAGCCAACCAGTTTCTTCTTCATCTGATGAAGGAGTGAAATCTGGCTTCAACTCCTTTACAACACTAGAATGTGTTCTAGTGGTTGGGCACCTCCTAACTGGCAGCTTCTGCGTTGAGCTACCTCCACATTCACACTCTCCTCCCTCTCTTCATCCCCCTCTCTTCCTCCTCCCTCTCCTCCATTTCAAACAGATCCTCAACCTCAGTGTCACCCTCATAATGCAGTTGTTCCTCCTCTTCTGACTCATCATCTGAATATTCATCTTCATCATCTGCTAGCTGTTCCTCATCTGCTTATCTCTTTCCATCTATTATCTCTGTGTCTTGAGAAATCTTGTACTTCTCCATGTAGTTATCACTATCATATGCCCCTTCTGAATCATCACTACTGTAATATCCCTCCTCCATCACAACTTTCAGCTTTTGTTTACCTAGGTTTTTGCTCTCTTGTGTGCAAAAACCAGTAGCTTCAACATTGCTACTGCTGCTGCACTGACTATGAAAAACAACCCCTTGGTCATCAATAGCAAGCACATTTGGCTCACTGAGATCATACACAAGTGGTGGTTCATAAATAATGGTTTGTAGTTCAACATTTCTGTGACTTGCAGCACTGTTAGTGGCTGTTGCTCTAAGTAACGGGTTCAGAACTAAAGTATGCTCATGCTGCTTCTTTAGTTGCTGCAATTTAATGTTTGTGTCAATCAAGTCTAGGCCATGCTCTCTCTTCTCTCCTATGCATGTGTTCTCCATGTGATACAATTCATCAGAGAATGTAAATCCTTGTGTATGCAATAGTGCATAAAAATTCAGAAAAGTGACATCAGAACTGCATATCTTCCTGTCCAAATTATGTTGGGCATCAAAGTGAACCCTAACATCCAAAATAGCATCATCCACACTACAAGTGGCAGCAAATTTCGACATTTTTCAGTAACACTAACCCTAGCCCCGAAATTAGAAGAAAGAAGAGAGGAGAGGGAGGAGGACTTACAACACTCCACCACATCCATGGGTCCAGTGATGGCTCGTGAAAGGGTTGGCGACCCAGATCTCTGCCATCGGCTGGCGCTGCTTCATCGTCAGCGTGGCCTCCTCCATTTCTTCCTCGCCGCTCGAGTAGTACGACGAACTATCGCCGTCGCCGTCAGCCAGTCCTGCGTGCGCATCGGCCCAGAGGCCAGGAAGATCTCGGTACCCGACCACACCTCCATCGCTGCTCGAGCCGCCACACACACCACCGCCGCCTGGATTCGTCGTCGCCATTTCCAGAGAGGAGCACGGGGAGGAGAGGGAGAGGGGAACGAGAGTTAGGGTTCAAACCGGTGGATCGGTTCGACCTAGCCCGTTAGGTCGGACTCGTCCAAGTCAGCGAGCCGTCCACGCGCCGATTCGGCCAGCGTGTCGCCTGATAGGTGGGACCGACCTGTCGGATATGCGGTCAATACGCGTTTATACACACCTTAGCCCGTTTTGCATCACTTAGGCCCTGGGTTGGTACCGAACTGCAAAACTTTTGAGTAGTGGTACCAATCCGTGAGTAGGTGCTGAAGTGTGGTACCAACATGCAATTAACTCCATTGTAGTACTACCTCCGTCCTGGTTTATTAGTCTCTTTAGTATTTTGTGCAAAATTTTAACCTTAGATTTAACTAAAAAATGTTAAAGCATGTAACAAAAATAATATCTCTCAAAACTATGTTCAAATACGAATCCAGGGATATAATTTGTGCTAACATGTATTATTATTTACTAAGTCAAATCGATGGTCAAAGTTGGGCACAAAATACTATGGGGACCAATAAACCAGGACGGAGGTAGTATGTGTCATTGATACGGAAGGACAATGGCGGATAGGAAAGACCACATATGTTGTCCTAGAAGAGTACAGGAAGAAGATTTTATGATTAATTATTGGAGGACGTTGTCGATGACAATAAATAAATAGGGCAAAATGTGATCTCTCTAAACCATATTATTTTTTGCAAATAATCCATTTAATTACCAAGCAGTCTGCTCATGAGGATGGAAGTTCAACCTGAATGAAGGATGCCCTCAATCCACAAACAACACTTTAGTGGGGTCACTGGGGTGTCTACATTATTGTTGCATAGCAGCAGCCTCCCCTTAACAAAGTGATCTAACTGACTAAGGTTATCAATCTTCAAAATGTAATGCGTAGAATAAGTCTCCTTTCTATTATATATCTACCCCAAAATAGATACAAATACTGCTTAGTTATATATAACACGCGTGGTGTAATACACTTATTTACAACACGTTGACATACATGAATGGTGCACCTCCAAAGTTGTTTAGTCACCCATCTCTCATGCTTCCATGCGTACGTGACAGCATCATAGCGCTGTACTACTTCTGTTGAAGCTCAAACGACAGGTAGTATTCCTAGTGCGTGTATTAATTCAATCATCGATCGGTTGGTGGCAGTCAATACATCCTTTCGTGTTCCGTCTCCATGACTTTTCTTTGGTTATGCGGCCTACGCCACTTCGTTTCTCACGATGCCATTAAGCCTGAACCAGCACACGACTATATATACGATAATACTAGTACTCCAAAGGATAAGAACCGTGCGTAGAGAAGCCAAATACAGTAGCTGTATCGCCAAGGAAAAATGGTACTCGATCTGGTGCTACGATCTTCATCCTACATTTGTTGTTGCTGACTGCACTTAGTTTGATCTTACTTTCAAACTATGGCATTTGTTGCTGAAATGTTAACTAGGTCGACTGAGACCTGTTTCACCGTTCTAGCTGTTCCACGAAGGTCGACTTCTTGATCATACCTGCGTTTTTGTAATGTAGGACGGTGAGAAGCAGATCAAGTTCATGACCTACAACGTCTGGTCCCGCGACGACGTTGTCGTCTACGAGCGGATGAAGGTGATCGGTGACCTCGTTCGGCAACATTCGCCGGACGTAATCTTCTTCCAGGTAAAAAAAAAACTCAGGTCATCGCTACTGATTAGCCAGCTTAAATCAATTCTCATCCATCAACCATCTAACTGTTCTTGGGATCGATGCCCAGGAAATCACGCCCTACATCCACTTGATCTTCGAAAGCTTCCCATGGTGGGACGACTACCACTGCTCACCAGTGCCCCCGGAAAAACAAACGGTGAACCATCACTTCTGCCTGATGGTACAATACGTCGGAAACTTTTAGTTCCCGGTCCAAGAAATTTGTCTGATGCGGTGAATTAACGCAGAAGTTCTTCTTGCAGTTGAGCAAGCTTCCAATGGAGAGCTACGCGCGCTGGAAGTTTGGCACTTCCCCGACTGGCAAGTGCTACCTAGAGGCCGATATTACCCCTGGATCAATGAAGCCGATCCGCATCGCCACTACGCAGCTCGAGTGCCCCATGCCACCGGCGTCGATGCACCTCAGGGATCGGTACATGCAGGCCAAGCACGCCGTCTCTGCGCTGAGCAGCGGGGACAACGTTGTGTTCGGTGGCGACATGAGCTGGGACGACAAGGCCGACATGCCGTTCCCTCTCCATGCAGGCTGGTGCGACGCCTGGGAAAAACTGAAATGTGGGACTGGAGGTGATAGTTGGACGTACAGTAGTTTGTGGGTGGAGAAGCCCCGGGAGTTCGGTGGCTTCGAATTCCCTCACCTCTACAAGCGGTCAGACCGATTTTTGTGCAAGCTACAAGACTACACTCTGGAAACAATTGAGCTGATCGGGGTTGGTCATCTTGAGATATATTGTTACCATAAGGACCGCAGCAACGGCCACTTTAAGATAATGCCGAGTTGTCATCGTGGGTTGGTTCTCACAATCGTCCCCAAGTGAGGTTTGTTGTTAAGTGCACAATGAAAGTTATATGCACCTGATCTGGATATCTGATGGGATTGCTTGCTTTTCGTCACGGATGTCACCAGCATATTGGCATCAATGTATCCGAATAATTTTATTTCAGTAAATCATGCATCGAGGCTTAATTTGTAGGTGGTCCCATACATGTATGCACTGTTCGGTTTTTGTTTCCCATCTACCACTTACCACAATGAACACCATTTTATTTACGCCCCAACTCATCTTTGCCACTGCCCAAGCTGTGGTCGGATGGTTAGGACATTAGTATCTCCAGCCCATCAGGTTCAAGTCCTGCTGCTCGCATATTCCTGAATTTATTTATTTCAGGAATTTCGGCGATGCTTTTTCAGTGTGAGAAGACGTTTCCATCGACTACAAGGTGCCTCTGGTGACTTCTTCAATCTTAAGATAATATGTTGATCGGCTGAGTCTCTCGGATGTGCTCATAGAGGTAGGGTGTGCGTGTGTGTGTTCATAGGGGTGAGTGTACCTGTGTATATATGAGCACCTGTGTTTGTCTGTGTTATACAAAAAAACTCATCTTTGTCGTGCTCTTGGGTACTCCCTCCAGTATTTGCATCAAAAGCTGACCATGAATTTGGTTAGCAAAATATAGGTTATATCTATTAGTTAGATTCACATCTAATTTTTTTAAAGTAATTTTTGTTATATACACCCATCGTTCTAAAATGTACAGTGTATAAGTTTTTATTTAAGTCAAACATATTCATGTTTGACCAAGTTTTTAGATAAAAATATCAATATCTACAGTATCATGATGAAATACGTTGAAATGCGACCTGTGTGAAAAAAGACAAATTCATGGCTTGGAAGGATGAATAGTATCATGTGTTAAATAGCCCCGGGTTTGTCTTTCTTGCACAACCCTCATTTCAACGTATTTTGCCCTGAAAATTTACACATATGTGTATTATGCCTTCATGTATATCTGTACTATTTTTTAGAATTGTTTGAAATGTAAAAATATGAATTACAATTAAATTTGAATTTTGAATCTGAAGGCCTCCAGTGAGCTCGGTCACCAAAGTCAGTTTCCGGGCGAAAGTCTACTTCGTTGTCATCATACAAAAGCTTCTTTACTTCAATACATGTCCAGCTCATAACACTAGTGCAGAACCGGGCAATAGCACCGGTTCGTAAGGCCCTTTAGTGCCGGTTCCATAACCGGCACTAAAGTGTGGGCACTAAAGCCCCCCCCCCCCCTTTAGTACCGGTTCAGCACGAACCGGTGCTAAAGGGAAACCACGTGGCACGAGCCAGCTCCAGGGGCCTGGAGTCCTTTAGTATCGGTTGGTAAGACCAACCGGTACTATAAGGTTTGGGGGGGTTTAGTTTTATAATTTCTTTTTCATTTAATTTTGTATTTCCATTTTAATTCTTTTTCGTTTCCTGGTATTTTACGATAC